TCTATTCATGTAGCAAGTATTGTTGTGTTTTACATTTAATTTATCTCTATTCATGTAGCAAGTATTGTTGTGTTTTACATTTAATTTATCTCTATTCATGTAGCAAGTATAGTTGTGTTTTTATATTTAATTTATCTCTATTCATGTAGCAAGTATAGTTGTGTGTGTGTTGGTTTGATTCCTTTACATCTGTGAAACTTGTATACCTACAAAGAGACTAAGTTTGATGATTTAAGTTAACCCTATTACATTATCCGTGTGTACAAAATGTTTTGTGTATGATGGATCTTTTTGAATAGTTTCCTGTTGAATTTCAAATATATACTGCAGGTAGAAAATAGCTGACATTTCAGTGCATACTTTGGAAGATTAAAGAACTACCTTCATGTGTTAAATAAATATCTGTCTTGCACATAAAAACAAACTACCCTAACTAGGCTTATGAAACACCTATAAAATATGACCACTGGTTAGAGGTTTGTGTCACTGCTTTTTTTGTCAAACAGTTGAACAAAGTAGAGCCACAACTTTACAAAATGAGTCTTAATTGTTTTTGACAACTAAGTTCTATGCTGGACTCTTGTACTTTTGATCTTTCTAAGCAAGCCTTTAAAAGTCTTAAACTCAAGGTACTATCTGGCTTACAGAAACTCTGCAAGAAGAGAATAGACTTCAGTACTACAATGTCAACTGTAAGCTACATGTTTTTAACATAAACTTTTATTAAATAATTGTTTCATGTGGCTAGATTGATTAATAAAAGATTGTACAGTTGTATTTGGTGAATATTCATAACCAGCTTTATAATATTGTTAGTACAAAATGCATGTAGATGATGGCCCAGTTGTTGTCCTATCAGGAAAACCTGCAGATTCAAAACATCCATGTAAAACAAAACCCTATTACCTGAGCACTTTCTTCATCAGGGGTAAACTGGGAGTCTTTTTGTTACATTGGAGATGACCATTCTATGGTGGGTTGCAATTAATCTTTGTATGAATAAGGGTATCTTTAAGACTTCTGATCTTCCAGAAGGAAACAACAGGAATGTCAGGAAAATTAAATTGGTTTCAGGTGATTATTGGACTGTATTAGATTGAAACTTTTCATCAGGTTATAGCTAAAATGTAAGGTCATGATATTTGGGAACAAATTCTAATTATTTCTTCCTGTGATAGGCAAAGCCCAGCTACCTTATCCCTTTCTTTTGTCTCCAAATCCTTGACTTGATGATATCTGCCCTTACCATGGTTGGCTACTTTGCATACTTACCAAACATCCGAGATAACATCGAGAACATGAAAGACTTGCCCTTCCAGCAGGAGTTGCTGCAATTAGACCCCCAGCTGTTGTGTGCCCTCGTTGTGGGTATCTTCATGGTGTACCTGGTGGTGAAGGTAAGAATTTCAACTACTGCTTTAAACATCAAAAGAGCACCAGTAAAGTTGGGATAACATCTGTTTGACTAAAGATGAAAGGTGTGACTAATTATAGTGGGATAACGTTTGTTTGACTAAAGATGGAGGCGGTGACTAATTACAGTGGGATAACGTTTGTTTGACTAAAGATGGAGGAGGTGACTAATTACAGTGGGATAACGTTTGTTTGACTAAAGATGGAGGCGGTGACTAATTACAGTGGTATAACGTTTGTTTTATTAAAGATGGAAGCGGTGACTAATTACAGTGGGATAACGTTTGTTTGACTAAAGATGGAGGTGGTGACTAATTACAGATTAATTAAATATATAAAAATCAGTAACTATTGGAGCTGTCAAAGTTCATGAGTATAATCTTCTCTGAATTTATCTAAAAAAACGAGAAGGAAATCGTTTAATAGAAAATGTACATCACTGCTCAGAAATTTACTGACATGTACATATTTGTGGACAAAAAATTACTTAAATGAAAACTTGCAAACCAACACTAATCTGTTTAACTCAAATCTTAGATTCTCCTAGATAGTTACCCTTGGCCTTTATAAAAGCTTTGCATGTAATACATCAAATAGTCTAGGAACAATCAACTCACACAGTCATCATGTTGGAATTACCTGGTAGGCTTGTGAACATATCAGTTAAGTAATCAATGATAGTACGAAAGTTAGGGTTAGCTGCTAGAACTTTCATTACTCAAAATGCTGTGTTGATTGACTACTAGAGATGGTATTGAATGTGGCTAAACCTAGCTACTTAGTCACTGAAATGCACTCATACAGCTTGTGATTCCCTGGCACATGAAAAGCTGTTGAATTCAAGATTTAAGTTAAAATAAAAAGTGTTACTTGTTTTTTAAAAGAGTTCCTTTATATGCTTTGTTTACTGATTTTTTTTCACAACCACTAACATTAAATATAAGTTTGTAAAGTTTTGTTTTCCTTACAGATATGTGTGCTCGAAGTTCTTAGCAGTAGTATACTTTCTTTGAACTAAATATGTTCTTGAAAGTACCATGAAAACAAAATAGCCTTGATAAAACTAAAAGCTGTCTGATGTTAAGGTTGGATTTATCTGTATAATAGAACGTAATCATGTTCTAAATTTGATGTCATTCTCATTAGGCTTACCTGATGGCAGTTGTGTGGGCGTGCTATAGGTACTTGCGAATGATGACTTGTCGACGTCAGGTGGAGATACATCCAGACACTGATGGAGAGGTTTGTATTGTGTTCTGTTGAGTTAAGAACCCCTCTGTTTGTGGTATATCGTACCTGAAGGTATTTTATTGTTATTCTTTACTGTTTGTAATACTTTGATCACTGTAGTTGTGAACCTGGAGAAATTCGATATATTTTATAGTAATGAAATATACTGTTGGAGTACCCCTAATGTCAAACTTTGTGATGTGAGGTAAACATATAGGTTGCAAAAATAACTAAGAACAAAAATAAGAAACCTTATAATCTGAGTGCTATCGAAAGATAGCCATTTTATTATCAGGGGTAAGCTGGAAATTATTAAGTAAAGTGAGTGAAAAAAATGTAGAGATTTCATTATTATGACAACCAGAAAGTGTTATAATTAGCTTCCAACTGTAAGTGTTTTAAACAAATGTGGAGATAACTGGGTGTCCACAAAGCCAAACGATTTAAGATCAAACTGGCAGCTAAAACTTAGTTTTGTGTTTATTGAACATTATGTAGAGTTTTAAGACT